TGTGAACCGGAAAAAACAGCGGCTGTTCACATTACCGACTTTTTCTCATTAACGAATGCTATATACAGGGTAGTCCATTAAGGGCGCCTTGCTCTCTGGTAGTCTTACCGTTGAATTTGGAAGAAAATGTTTCTGATAAAAAATGTTCTTGATCAAATCAATCCATTTGAGGAAAGTAATTTCATAGATGGCGGACTTCCGGATATACCGGAACTATACATTAGCTGCCTTATTTTAAATGGAATACCCTGTATATTATTACATTTTTGAATTCAGCATTGCTTTTAATGTCCAGTTTGTTAAGCATAGTTTTTGCCTGTGCGTTTTCTTTTTGAGTTATTTAGTAATTTCTAGAAAATTTGACGTTTGTAGTACCTTATATAAATTTTAATATGTCTGCAATTATACTCGATAAAAAGCTACTTTCTGCACTTGGCTTTCCATCTAAAAATCTTTTCCGAAGCACATTAAATCATTACAGTAATAATGTACAATTTTTAAATGTTTCAAACATCAATAATTCATTTTTTTCAAATGGGAAGCTATGTTCATTTTGACATCTTCGGATGCAAAATTAAATTCTCTTTCGATTTTATAAACATATATTGGGAACAAACTTTGTTTACAAGGAATTATTAAATATGTACCGTTTAGTTTCATGTTTAATAATTCATTGTAAATAAAGTTCATTCCCAATATTGTTTATATTTTATATCATGAAGTCACGGCAATCTTTTAAGACATTAGTTGTGTGTTGGATTAAGTAATTTTATCAATAATTCCAATAAACATGAAAACATGTGTTTTCGGCTGTAGACCCATTTCACCTAAAATATATCCGTTTTCTGTGCACATTACAGAATAATTAACAAATCGCAATTATTTTGAAAACCGTCAAGCGTAGACCTCAATATTCCTTAATAAAACTGAAAGAGAATTTAATTCAAGCGATTTATCATTAGATACATACGTATTGATGTGTACAGAAATTTCTTTCTATAAAGATTTGGTTTGTTTACGTTATACGGTGGCCTACCGTTGTTAAAATACTGTTCGCACCATGCGGAGTTTCCGTTATGCGATGTTCACACTGTCGAGTCTCTACTGTGTCAAAAAGAAAAAAAAATTAACAAATGTGCGAATCGATTTTAAAAACTTACTTGAAGTTTTATTGACATTTTCGGAACATTTTGTATACACAAAAAGAAAGAGAAAATAGAAGAACAAAAGAAAACACAAAAGGTGCTGGTTGACGATATGAGAAATTGACTAACAGGTATTGTTCTTGTCCCTTCCAGCGTTTATGCTGTGCTACACGCAGGAAGATGCCGCATCCGAAGGTAGAGTATTATTTTATTATGCCTACAAAATCGCGTCCTGTCTTCTGTTATGTTGTTTAACTATATAAATTTTCTTTTCGCTTTTTTCTGTGTTCCATAGTACAGGTGAAATATTATATCGAGTTGAGCTCCCGTACATGGAAGAGATTACGTTAATTTACTTGGAGAATAACGACGATAGTAAGTGCTGTATGTCGTGGCTGCATGAACAGAAAATCATTTATTACCCGAAAAAAAGTTGATTGAAAGATTGTCAGTCACAATCGAATTAATTTATACAGTAACGGCAAAAATAACAATCCACAAACGAATTGTTTTGCTGATCGGTGGTTTGAAAAATACTTTTATACGCCTGTCAATCTCTAGATATTTTTATTTAGTTTTCTTTACAAGAAATGTCTTTGTATCTGCCTACATTTGGGTATATTTTTAGAAATCATTTGACAAAAAAAAAGAAAACTTCATTTTTCTTTTTATAAGACATATTAAAGTAAAATTATTTTATTTTTAAAACCATCAGCATGTACTTAAAACAAATCAGTTGTTTTGAATATTTTTCTCAAAAATAAAATAAAAATGTATATCTATCATATTTCAGAACTAGTCTTCATTTTAATATTTTTTGTTTGTAAAATTAAGTAGTTAATGTATATCGAAAGTTCTGTCTTTTTAAAAAAACGGAAAAAATTGAAAAATTATTTTAGACAGAATTCAACTTTTTCATGCAAAGAATCTCGCAACTAAAATTTACCTTTCATTATAGATATTCTTTTTTGTTTAGATATCCGATTAAAGGCGGAAAGTATTTTTTAAATAACGAATTAAAAAAGTTTTCCTAATACTATTAGTGCAAACTTTTTAGCAGTCACTGTATATAATTATTTTTACCCCGCATTTTGACTCCCTCCCTTTCAACACCACCACCAGAAGAATAATTAATTTAAATTCCCTGAATGACCTCGGTATCTTTTTCCAATAACTTCACCCCTTTGTCGATATGTCCCGATATGTCGATAGAACCACAAAAGGTTGGTGTGGTTGTAATTAACATATTTGTCACCAAAAGTGGCGTTTTAGGCATTTCTGTGTGTGAGCAATATCTAACTCAGCGATTCGCTTTTATATGTGGGATTCCCAAAAAGCAAAAGTACGTCGTTTGCATGAATGAATAAAAGAGATATTGTACTTATGTTTCGTACAGTGAATTTGCAGTAAGAGCCCCACTTAGGCCGATGACCTTAATAATTAAATATTCTTTTGGAAAATGGAAAGTACAATAATTTTGGGAAGAGTCTTCCAACTTTTTGATTTGAATGATTTATAAGAAAACTGAATGAAGTAAGTTTCAAATTATAATTCTTCATTGCCAAAGTATTTTATAATATATCCGATTTGTTGATGACGTGTGGATGTCGATTAATGTCAATCCAATCCAATCGGAAGATTTTTTTGTCTTCGTCACCCCTCCATTTCCGTTTATTAATTAGATATCAAAAGCATATCGATATTTTTGCACCACCGCCCACTGCAGTAGAAGAATCTTCTTTGTTTTGTGACTGTCCAAAGCGTATGTTTCGTATAGAGGAACAAACATCCACTTGGCTTTTAGTTTTAAGTTGTTTATTTCCCTTGGTTTAGTTCACCGAACCCATCAACTAAAATTTAAATCGCTTCTACTAGATTGAAATTATTGAACCAATAGTTGAATGTAAAATACGATAGAACGAGGATAGTTTAGAGCATTATTAATCACATCAGTTCTGCATAATCTAGAATCTTTTCATTTTTAAGTAAGTAGATATATGTCTGTCTGTCGGTCTTGTCTATATAGTGTTTATATTTTTTTAATTATAGTTTGCCTATTTGCATTATTTTATTATATACAAATTGTTGTCGTTCTGTTCGTGCTTTTTTCATTGTCTGTCCCTTTATTAATTTATTTATTTAAATGTTCTTAACTTTATCTCACTTTTCAAGATCTTCGCAGTTCACTTGCCACTGAAAATATTGTATTTAGAACCAATTTTCATTTGAGATTGCTTTACTACTAATGATATTTTAGAAGATATAATATTTTGCATTTTGTAAATCACATTTTTGCTTTTAATTCAGTGCCAAGTGAGCAATATGTATTGTATAAGCTCTTCTTGTTCTGATACCCTTTTTTGAACAGCTTTTATAAATAACATGACTTGTTGAAATTTTTGCTCATATTAGAATTAGGACCTGGAACACTTGGTCAGCCGATTTTTTTTGCAGTTTTATTAACCAGTTTTTTATCGCTTTGTCGGCGATCGTTAGGCTCTCGTCTATTAACATTCGATTTTCGCAGGTAATGAGGAAAATGTACTATCATACGAACCCGTTCAGCAGATGGAGATCACTTATACAAGGCCGGTGATCGTTTTGGGTCCTCTCAAAGACCGCATCAACGACGATCTTATTTCGGAATTTCCCGATAAATTTGGAAGCTGCGTACCACGTATGTCATGCATAGTATTAACTGATGAATGTCAAAATTGATTGAAGCAAACCTTTTTACAATTAAATTCAATTGTTAGATACCACCCGGCCAAAAAGGGAATATGAAGTCGACGGTCGAGACTACCACTTCGTTTCTTCTCGAGAGCAAATGGAGAAAGATATCCAAAATCACCTGTTCATCGAAGCAGGGCAGTATAACGACAATTTGTATGGAACGTCGGTGGCGTCTGTTCGAGAGGTAGCCGAAAAGGTTTGAGCCTTCATAACGTTTCACATTGTGGTATTGAATGGTCAATTTTTTCTAGGGAAAGCACTGCATCTTAGATGTAAGTGGAAATGCCATTAAAAGGCTACAAGTGGCTCAACTATATCCAATTGCGATTTTCATAAAGCCAAAATCTGTGGAATCCATTATGTAAGTAATTATTACACATAATTCGTTTAATTTTTTGTTAGCAGCAATACGGAAAATACAAATGGGTTTCTTTTTTTTTTTTTAAGGGAAATGAATAAGAGAATGACTGAGGAACAAGCTAAGAAAACTTACGAGAGAGCACTAAAAATGGAGCAAGAGTTTGGGGAATATTTCACAGGTATGTACAATTCTACTTTCTACCAGTAATCAAAGATAAATTAATTATATGACTCTTTATCTTTGTTAAGCGGTCGTACAAGGCGACACACCTGAAGAAATTTATGGGAAAGTAAAAGAGGTGATCGAGGAACAATCTGGACCAACGATATGGGTTCCAGCAAAGGAACAACTATGACGGCCGGTGTCACCTGTATGGACAGTACCGACGCGCTCTTCCTCTATCTCCCATCATCACCTACATTGAATTGAGAGGAGAGATCGAGGGCCACCCCCGTTTCCGACTAAAAGACATCTTCGGCAGCATTATTAAGTACATAAAGAAAGGACACAGTTGGTGATGCCGCTCCATCATCATTTTGTAGTAAAGAAAAAAAAATGAAAATGCTTGTTACGTACGACCAAGTCATCGTTTTCGTCGTTGTTGTTATTATTATTATTATTATTGTCGTTGCCTCCTCAGCCAGTTGCCGAACTGTGTTCCTCCAAATATAGTCCCCAACCCCCTTTCGACCCGTCTGAATGAGCCACAATTGAACAGGAAATAATAATAATATAATATAAAGAATTGTTGACTTCTCTAGCGTCGTGATGTTTTTTTGTAAGTTTGTTTTTGACGAATAATTGATTATGAAAAAATAGCACGAATTGTCGCAGACTACGTGACTCGAGTTAAATAGGATATTGAAAAGAATTATATACTTAAACGTATTGTGTAGGTAATTTTAATGATGCAAAAAATGATAAATAATTAAATGAAAAAAAACCTTTTCAGCTTAGGACTCTTCGTAACGTTGTAAATATACACAGTTACTTATTATTATTATTATTATTATTATTGTGTGTGGTAGCAACCAGCATACGTTATTGTTATGAATTCTTCAAAGCAAGTTGTGACCTAACTTATTTGCGTTACTAAAAATAAAAGATTTTACTATCTATATTACTTTACTCCTCCCTTCCAGTGTGTACTTTACATGAAAAGGTAAGTGATGTAAGTGTAGTGGTACGTGCGAAAAGAAAAAGTATAAGGTAAGTATAAATTCATTTCCATCTTGAAGTAGAAGTTTTTAAATTTCTTTACTTATTATGAATTGTTTTGGTGGGGCGACAAAGAGGCACA